CGGGGGATTCCCATGATGCACTGGTCTCCTCTCCTCTCCTCTCCTCTCCTCTCCTCTCTCTTCCATAGTTATATCCACCACTACATGTCACTAGCTCTGTGTTTGTTCTCTCTGCAGACGTCTCTGGATCTGGATCTTCACGTCCTTGACCTCCAGCTACTGGCCTCACCGACCCCAAAATACTTATATTCATATCTAACTCTCCTGATTACAATCCCTTCTCCACATCACTGGTAATGCCCCTGCCTGGTTACCTTCATATCTTGCAGCCTGGAAACAATTCATCAATATCGACAACTGCTCTTCCTCTACTGCCCCCCTGCTCCAATGTGTACCCCAAGGTTCGGTGCTTGGTCCTCTCCTTCATTCTCTACCTCCTCCCGCTTGGCCAGATCATTTGTCGTCATGGTCTCCATTTCCATTGTTACGCTGATGACATCCAGCTATACATTTCCACTAAATCTGTCAACTCCCAAACCCATGCCATGCTGTCAAATTACCATAACATGCGCATAATTTGCTGACATAAATTTCTGGATGCAAAATCATTTTCTCAAACTTAACTCCAGTAAATCTGACATTCTCATTATTGGTCCCGATTCCTTCACCTCTAGTTCAAGACTTCCATCTTTCATTCAATAACTCCTCCCTGTCACCCTCGCCCCACTGCTGTAACTTAGGCGTCCTTTTCGACACCAAACTCACCTTCACCAAACACAGAAATTCTGTTGCTAAACCAGCCTTCCATCACCTAGAAAACATCGCCCGCCTCCGCCCCTCTCTCTCCCTCCCCGCAGCAGAAACCCTCATCTCATCCACGCCTTCATTACATCATGCATTGATTACTGCAATAGCATCCTCTTCGGTACCACCTCCAACCTCAATAGACTCCCATACATCCAAAACTCTGCCGCCCGCCTCTTCACCAACACCCGCTCCCGAGACCACATCACCCCTGTTCTTCAAAACCTTCACTGGCTTCCCATCCCATAATGTATCAACTTCAAAATCCTTCTTCTCATCCACAAAGCGCTCCATAATCAGGCCCCCTCTTACCTCAAAGACATACTCCACCCCTACACCCCTTCACGTACCCTCTGAAAATTCCAACCTCTTGATCGTTCCCAGGACCAAGCACCGAACCTGGGGGGACAGGGCCTTTTCTGTCGCCGCCCCCACTCTCTGGAACTCTATCCCACAACATATTTGAGACACCTCAGACCCATCCATCCATCCATCCTCTCCACACCTTCATCCTCACCAGGGTCATGGGGGGCGGAGTCTATCCCAGCTGACTCAGGGTGAAGGCAGGTTCACCTGGACAGGTAACCAGTCTATCACAGGGCTACACTTAGAGACAGACAACCAAGCACACTCACATTCACACCTACGGACAATTTACAATCACCTCAGACCCAGTAGTATTCAAATCTAAATTAAAAACCCACCTGTTCCACTCCGCTTTTCCCACCTAGGCGTAGGCTTTATCTTGATATTTAGTGTTGTTTTTTTCTGCTTGCTGTATTTCTATAGTCTACCTTTGTATTAGTCGCTTATTGTTTATTGCTTTTGTCCTGTGAAGCATCTTTGAGTTCTTGAAAAGCGCGATCCAAACAAAATGAATTATTAATTATTATTTATTATTGTTATTGTTCTGCTCTATTGTTGCTTTCCATCTGCTATCCCTTTCCCCACCCCAACCATCCCCACTCTCACCCAACCGGTCGAGGCAGATGGCCATCTTCCCTGAGCCTGGTTCTGCCGGAGGTTTTTGTTTGGTTTCTTCCCACTGTTGCCAACCACTTGCTCAGAGGAAGTGCAAAGGCTGCTTTGGATTGTTGGTTTTTCTGTTTAAATTTGTAAGGTCTATACCTGACTTTGTTAAGCGCTGTGTGTTAACGTGTTGTAAACTGCACTATTCAAATAAAATTGAATTGAATTGAATTTTACTGACTCAAAAATGATGATGGTCAGGTCATAAATTGTGTAAAAATATATCATCAGACACAAACTAGAAACCATTTTAAATGATAAGGATGTAGGACAATGAGAGAAACAATCTCATTATTGTTTCTATTTGTAGGTGAAGACTGACCAGAGAACCAGGCTGCAGGGGATCAGCTGCAGCCTGGATGCTGCTGAGCATCAGCAGCCTCCTCTCAGAGAATTTCTCTACAACAGAGCCTTAGAGCTCTTTTATATACATAAACTTACATTTACTTATTATTTTTTTATTTTTACATTCAGCCTTTAAAAAAGCCATTTTCAACTGGCCATTCAATAAATAGGCTGTGAAAGTAAAATCTGCAGTCAGATGTCATTTTTTTACGCCGCCACGGCTCCCCGGACAGCCTGCCCTCACTGCTGGAGAACATCCTGGAGGAAACTCTGGATTTATTGTGATACACATCTGAAACAGATCAGATGCAGCAGGTGGTGCGGCTCCAGACCAGAGGATGGCGCTGTACAATTACAGGACATGACTGCTGACCCCATAACCCGGATGCTAACCACAGACTGTGACGCTAACTAGAAAGCTGCCTTATTGCAGTGTAGTTTTCGTCCTCCCTCAGTGTGGAAACAAGCAATAATAGTGCCAATTCAAAATCCTGGAAAGGACCCCTCAGACCCATCTAGCTACAGGCCTTTCACCTTAACATCACATCTGTGTAAAATCATGGAACAAATGGTCACAGAACTCAATTTTTTTCAATTCCATTTTATTTGTATAGCGCATATTTACAACAACAGTCATCTCATAGCGCTTCACAAAGGCAGAAACATCCAACAATCCAAAACATCTGGATTCTCTATAAGCTTCAGCAGTCTGCTGGTGGGACGGAACCAAAAACCCNGACTCCATCATGAACATGAAGTCAGTCAGACAGCAGCCTGGAGACACACTCTTGGGTTCATTAGCTTTATTATATGAACATTTAACTGAACCTTACTGGATATAAAACGCGTATTAGAAAATTACAAAAATAAAATATAAACCATTTATCCTCCAGAAACTGTAAAATCAGGAAGAGTGAATATATTTAGTAAATGTACCAGAAGACCTTGAACAAAGAGTGTGTCTTTGGAACATTAACACATTTAGGCTTAAATCAGGATATTTAATCACGTTATGATCACATTATAAATGTTTCATGTAAAAGTTCACCAACAATAAAGCAGATTCTGTTAAAACTGAAAACTCTGAGTTCCTCTGTGCAACCGTGAAGCTATGAGAGTCTCCAGGTGACCTTCAGGTGGTGTTTCCACAGAGCACAGAGGAGACAGGACAGAAATCACTGAACATGGAAATAGATGAACATCTACAATATGTGGAGCCAGGATTACCTCCAGCGATGGTAACATCTGGTGACACTTGGAAACATGTTGGACATGATGAGTCCAGGATTATTTTTGACTTTGCTCTGGTGCCACCATCAGCCAGCGCTGAAGAACACATTAATGTTCATGTGAGGGAACCACGGAGTCTGGGCCTCATGGAGCTGCTTTACACCACTATACTGGACTCTGTCATGCAGCCCATGCTGCTGCAGAAAACAGTCCATGTGACACATGTTGGTGGCATTTGATGGTGAACCAACAGACAGTGGAGTCCAGCAGGGTTGAGGAGGTCAGTTGAGTTTCAGGGTCTGGTAGAACTTGTTGCAGATGTCATCAAAGGAATCTTCTCCAGCCATCTGCTCCACGACATGGCGGGCTCCGCTCTCCAGAACCTGGTAGAACCTCCTCACTTCTTCCAGCTCCGCCTGGTGTCGCTCCTCCACCTGCTGTCGGTCCTGCTGAGCCTCCATCAGCTTCCTCTCGTACTCTGACTCCACAGCTTTGATTTTCTGCTCCAGTTTCTTCTGGTAGAACTCTCTGAGCTGAGACTCTCTCTGATCCAACATCTCCACCACCTGCTGGTAGGTGTAGTTGGAGTAGAACTGCCCTCCGTTACCAGCCACCATCTTCTCCACCTTCTCCAGCAGGTCCAGGACCTGACCGCGATCATCGGCTTTGAGGTTGTTGAAGACGTGGTACCTGTTTCCCACCTTCTTCAGGATCTCCTTCAGCTCAGGTCCCACCCGCTCCAACATCTGATGAAAATCTGACCGAACCTCGTCTCCGTGGGTGAAGAGGACCATGGTGTACCTCCAGGCGTCCTCTCCAAAGATCTCCTCCACCTTCTTTACAGCGTGTCTTTCTTCTTTTGTAAAGCGTCCCACCTTGATGACCAGCAGGATGGCGTGGGGCCCCGGCGCCGACATGTTGATGCACTTGGAGATCTCCCTCTTGACGGCGGGTTCAGGCAGAGAGGTGTCGAAGAGGCCGGGGGTGTCGACGACGGACACCATCCTGCTGAACAGCTTGTCCTGCTGCTTGCAGCACTCTTTGCTCACTGAAGACAGAAAAGACCAGATTTACTCATCAGCACAGTCCAGCCATCAGCAGACCACACTGGCCCTGGAACACGTTTACGCCAGCAGGAGGCGTAGTGGCTGAAAGCTGAGGGCTTTGGATTACCCAGCACAAGGTTGGGCCTTCAAGCTCTCCAGCAACCATCTGCTTTAGGTGTTGCAGTGGGGCTGACTGAGCTGTGGCCCCACATATACACGATAAACGTGTCAAAACCTGGTGATGATGAGTTGACCTGTAGAGAACAGGTCCAACACCTGGCAGTGTGGTGCACCAGAAACACCTTGGAGCTCACTGTGGACTTCAGGAGAACCAAAGGCTGCCCACACAATAACACTGAGACAAACACACCTGACAGTAGAGTCACACTAAAACCAGGAATAATGGCGACAGTTCACAGTTCATTCCTGCTTCAGGGACCATGAGTAGGATGCTAATGTGTAATACCAACAACAGAATAAAGAGTGTTACCTGAGGACTGGCTGACGTCTGCTCTGAAAGCGCTTCTTCCCAGTATGGTGTTTCCACTGGAACTCTTCCCTACTCCAGTCTTCCCCACTAGAACCAGTCTGATGTCTGACACTGGAACACAGAACAGAGTTAAAGGCCCGGCAGCCCAACAATCAGGCCGACGGTTTAAAGCACGTCCCTGTTTTATTCTTGTTGCTCAGCCTCAGAACAGCTTCGGTTACTTTCAGTGCTGAAACAGACAAACTGTTGGAAGCAAACTGAGCTCGAAGCCCTGAAACACACCTGAGTGACACAAACACCTGTGAAGTGTCTCCAACATCACACACCCCGAAAGGAGGAACTCTGGATAGAAGAAGCTGTGATGTCTCTCTGCTCAGACCAACATGGAGCCCTTTAACGCTCCCATGTTGTTCCCTTGTCAGAGATCTCATAGAAGTCTGACATGTCCTCACACTGACTTTCACTATTTCAGCTCCAACCACCACAAAGATGGTTCGGTTCTCCACAGGTCTCATTTCACACAAATCCCATGAATCTACCTTCCACCCCGTTGAAGGTTGTTTTTGAAAAAGTGCCCTTTGACCTCTGGAGGAGCTGTTTCTGCACTGACTGACCCTAAAACCTGGTCATTCTGAGGAGAGGCTGCTCCTAGCTCACCTGTAAGATATGAACTGGTTAGACCTCAGCACTGGAGCTACAGACTGTCCACACANGGGGGAGTCACAGAGTTAGTCATATGTAATGGTGATAGGCAACTATAGAAACATATACATACACATATATATATAAAGAGGAGAGGAGAGAAGCCCAGTGCATCATGGGAATCCCCGGTAGTCTAAACCTATAGCAGCATCACTAAGGGACAGCTCAGATGACTCCCAGCAGCTCTAACTATGAGCTTTATCAAAAAGATTAACATATGTTGTGGAAATTAAGGCTCTTCTGTCTCCGCATCAAAGTGGATTTCGCAGGGGTCGGAACACAATGGACTCTGTACTGTGTTTAGAGTCTGACATCAGGAAAGCACAGACCAACAGGGAAGTGGTGATAGCAGTCTTCTTCGATGTTGAAAAAGCATATGTCATGCTCTGGAAGGAAGGTCTTCTCATTAAATTAAAATCGCTAGGAATTGGTGGGAGGGCATATAACTGGGTGCTGAATTTTTTAATCAACAGGAAAATACAAGTAAGAGTAGGGTCAGAATATTCCAGTGTATATGAGGTAGAGAATGGTACTCCGCAGGGTAGTGTGTGCAGTCCATTGCTTTTCAATATAATGATCAATGACATATTTTCTAAGGTGGAAAGAAATATAGGGAAGTCTTTGTATGCAGATGACGGGGCTCTATGGGCAAGAGGACGCAATATAGATCATGTTAGTAGGAAAATTCAAGCTGCTGTACATGAGGTAGACGGATGGGCAGGTCAGTGGGGGTTTAAACTATCGGTTGCAAAAACTCAAGTGATTTGTTTTTCAAGAAGAAATAGAGTTACTCCACTCTCATTAAAAAGTCTTCAGATTTCTTGGGGTCTGATTTGATGAAAGACTTACATGGAGCACTCACATAGAAAAAGTTGTGTCTAAAAAGAAGTTAGAATGGACTTAATCAATGAAATATATATAGTGATGAGTAGAATCCATGGTAAGAGATTGGTCACACAGTTCATCTGGGTCCCTGCTCATGTAGGAGTGGAAGGGAATGAGCAGGTAGACACTCTGGTCAAGCAAACCCTGAGAAGTACAAAAGTAGACATGTAGATACCATTAAGCAAAGCTGAAGTGAAGGCTATCATTAGGAAACATACACAATCTACATGGCAGGAATATTGGGACATCAGTGAAACAGGTAGGCATCTTCATCAAATCCAAAGTCAAGTGGGTGGTGGGAGGAAAGTGGGGGTCAAGCGTAGGGAAGAAAGCGCTACAACATGTCTGAGAATAGGTCACACAGGTCTTAATTACTCACTACATAAAATAGGTAAACATCCCACTGGAGACTGCACACATTGTAACCAGCCAGAAACAGCTGAACATGTATTACTCCACTGCAAGAAATATGTTAATCAAAGGAAGAATCTCCAACGGTCATTAAGGAAGGCAAAACATCACAACTTTACAGTATCAGGGCTTCTGGGGGAATCCGCAAACAAGGTTCAACAGTACATCATTAAGTTCATTAGAGAAACGGAGTTAGGTAGCAGAATTTATTTATTTATTTTTTATTTATTTTATTTTATTTATGTATTTATTTGTTGCTGCTTAATCTCTCGTCCACACTCCAGTCCAGTTGGTGGCGGTACTGCACCTTACTTTGGTTTGCCAACCGCCATTGAAATCCACAGAAGAAGAAGAAGAAGCAGAAGAAGGAAGAAGTAGTTTTCGTCCCCTCCTTGTTTACCTTCTGTTTTTATTATATTGTGTACGTTTCTATAAGCTGTCCGGCACCACGTTCCTTCGGACACTGAGAATCTCTGTTAACAAGTTCACGTTAGATTTACTTTATATTTGCATAGATAGCTAACTAGTTGGTCCCATGGAGCGATGGCTAACGCATTAGCTTTCTCGCTAGCTGTTTTGCTCCTGGCTGCACAAGTTTCTTCACACATACCTGGTAAGTTAAGGCTCAACTAGTGCTCTAACTACTATGTATTGGGGACGTAGCTGGTTAGCTGTCGTTGGCAGTTGCTCAAGTTAAGTTGATAGCTAACTCGCCAGCTAGCTAGCTAAACGGAATATTATGCTAGAACTGTCAAAGGTGGACAATGCCTTAAAGGAATCGCATCACTGCTGAGGAGCCTTGATTTTAGGATCAATTAGCGTTTGTTTTTTTTTTAGATTTCTTTTGATCCCGTTGAGCAGCTGTTGTTGATGCTATGATGCTAGCTCATACACAGTGCTGTCGCATCATTAGATGTTGTTTTTAGGGGAGATTTTGTGCATTTCTCATCTGTGTGTTATTATTCAGCCGACATGTACGTGAATCACATAAAAGGCGCACACGTCATACTAAATGGCTTTGAAAGGCTCAAATGGAAAATATCTGGTGCAGCCTTTCCTTAACTTGTCCTGAACTCTTTTGGCAAATAATAGCAGAGTTAGTAATCAGTGATTTTCTGCTGTTTTACTCCAGGTTTCAGTGAAGACATGTCAAAGGTTTCTGATTGTTTGAGCTGCTTTTTATTCTGGGTGTTACACATATTGTAGGAATTGAACTCATGGGAAACTTGCCACTGTATTATTCAGAGTCTGAATCTCATCATACCATGAAAAATGCAAATTACATGATTTGACTGGCATTAAATCATAATTTTGCATCGACACGATCACTCTGAGGCAAAATCAGCAGTCAGACTGGATAGCCGAGACGCGGTATTCAGTCTGGACAGGACAAAAGGTTTCTTAGTGTTTGTTCTTTGAGAGGTCAGAAGAAATCTGGCAACTTCTATGAGCTGATTAGTTTGACGAGGAATGGCCTCTGTGGAAGGTAGCCGCCCAGAAATCACTTTATCAGAGTGCTAATGGGGCTAAAAGGCTGAAACATGCAAAAGCTCAGAAAGACTGAAGTGAAGACCAATAGAAGAAAGTTCTGTGGCTGAAGTTTGACATGTTGGGGTCCAGTTGAGAATATGAGAGCAGAAGAGAGAGCGCTCGTAGGCGTCGATGAAACATGGTGAAGTGTCTGTCATGGTTTGAGGCGGATTTTCTGCCAGTGATGTTGTATATGTTGTCCAAACCGATGAAATTGTGAATGCTGAGAAGTACAGACGGAGATTTTATTCGGTAATCCCAAAAAGCAGCTGATGAAACGCTGATGGACTGACCTCCACAGAGACCAGACCAGAATATCACAGAAGCTCCATCTGGACAGAGACATAAGTTTAATCTGAAAAAAACACCTCTGGGAAGTGCTGAAGGAGGCTTTTGCTGAAGTACCACAGGATTATTGAAGACAGCTTCAAGACGGTTGACCCAGGAGATTTCAAAAACTGCGCAGTGCAGAGGGAGATCAGACACAGTGCTACCTCAGCCTGTAGGAGCCGTGCTGTTTTAAAACTCTATATGATTTAATATGTCTGTGCACATTGCCTGTATGCTCTGGTTGTATTTTAATATAGAGACTGAGAGATGCCTTTTTTGTGGTCATTGTAACCTTGCTGAAAAAAAACAGACCCTAATGGTGGCTGAAGACTTTTGCACAGTCCAGCGTTTGTTCCTGATCCAAGTGTATCCTCAGTCTTCACCAGACAGGCTGCCTCTTTAGTTTAGATGCTGTCACTGTGCAGCTGCAACTTACTGTTAATTATTTTATTATAATATAATAAAATAATAATATAATATAATAATAATAATATAATAATTATTATTATTCAAATAATTTCAAGTGTCTTTAACATGTTACTTGCTCCAAACTCAGACCAACCTTTCTAAGAGCTGCCAACAGCTTTCAGTAGCAGTGTGTGCCCTGAAGTTTTGTTGTGTGTGTGTTATTGATGCTCAGTAACTTCATCTTACAGTTTGTCCTCACTGATTTAGAGGATTTGTGTTAATTCCACAAAGAGAAATGTTGTACTGTTGTGTTAGCTCTTTCATTGTGTGGAAATGTGCAGAAGTGCGTTTAATGGTGATATTCAGCCAGATATAAATGGGCACGAAAGGCTGGTTATCTGGTGTTTGTTAGATATAAAAAATAGACATGTAGGAGAAGCAGCTATGGTGTAAAGGCATGAAGGGGTGATCTTTGAGGGGAAAGCAGTCGTCCAACACTGTAAATATCACACTGGACAGTGTGAACTCTGTCAGACTGCAGTTCAGGTTCAGCAGTTGACACACATCGATGTGCTTTGGGCTGTGTGAAGCCATTTAAAGAGTTTTTCTACAATTTCGCGCCAATCTTGGTCCAGAAACATCACAGAGAGAAAAAAACAAAAACAGAAGTTGCTGCTACACTTCCCTTTGTCATTCTCTGTGCGCTACAATTAAAAATTTATTATGAATTGAAATGTCCATAAAAATCTAACTTTGGGTGGAGAGTTGTGCTTTTGCTTTTTTTTTTTTTGCCTTCATGCACAACAGCAGCAGCTTCATTAATTACTAGTAATTCTAAATGATTGTCCACAAGGAGAGACAGTATTGATCAGGATCTGACTGCAGGTCACACTGTGAACTTTCCTTCACTTCAGATAGGTGAGCTGTTGTACAGAGGCACAGTCTGTCAGCTGCAGGTAAATCATTTGCCACAGAGCAGATTTAGCCTCAGAGCTCTTCTATAAAAAACAAAAACAAAAACAGAAAAATTAATTGTTCTGAGCCTGAGTGCAAACTTTGCCACTGATTCTACAGCCCCATTAATTAAATTTTATTTATTTTTTTAAATTTACACTCACCTTTTAAAAAAGCCATTTTCAACTGGCCATTCAATAAATAGGTTGTAGAAGTAAAATCTGCAGTCAAATGTCATTTGTTTATGGCGCCACGGCTCCTGGAGAACCTGCTGCCTCCGCTGCTGGAGAACATCCTGGAGGAAACACTGATTACTGACCGAACGGATCCTTTCAGTGTCTCTGGTTCAATCAGCCAGTGGTCCGAATTACAGTGAACTGAAAACTGGTTAAAACCAGCCAGCGGAAAGTAAAACTTTGTGGGAAATGTGCTGCTAGCCCACAGATAAATAGTGACAATCTAACAGTTAATTATATCAGAAGTGAATCCAAACGAGGAGGAGACCTGAGTTTACAGTGAATGAGGCTGCCTCTTCCCTACCACCTGTCAATCATCCCAGACCAAACTGTCAATCAAGTAGCCACGCCCCCAATATTATAGAAACTTTAACGATTTATATAATTCAATGTTGATTTATTGTCAGATTGCCCACCTAATCTCTGGGTTTGACCATGAAAACTAATGGAATAAAAAATCCTGAGCTGTAGGAATGCGGTATTTCGTGATCTGTGTTCTCCTGTTTAGAACTGGGCTCTATGGAGCCGGCACCAAGCAGACGTAGTGGTACTGCAGGTTTTTGACACTTACAGGTTGCCTTCATTTTTCAGGGCTGGATGCTACGTCCATCTTTCTTATACAGTCTACGGGTGCAGACTGGCGACTTTCACAGTAAAGCTGCGGTACAGGCTGACCCAGGTCTGATGAGCGGCGACGGAAGGAGGTGCTCTTATTTTGAAACGGTCTCCGCCCTGCTGCTGCTGCTGGTGAACTTGATGAATCAGGAGAAGACGCGGACCGAAGTGCTGCCTGAACACCGAGGCTGCTGTTTTCAGGTGAGTCTGTCTCATTGTTCCTGCAGTTTTGTGGAGGTGAACCGAGACTCTGCCTGTCACACACCGAGATCCACTGACAGCTCAGGGACCTTCACTTCCTGTTTGTTGGTCGAGCTCCAGTCTGGGTTCTGATCTTCACTCCTGTGCTCCCTGTTCTATCAGTAGAGCTTCTTCTGAAGCCTCTTCAGACATCAGACGTGGACCATTAGTGGTTCCTCTGTGACATCAGTCTGACCTTCAGCCTCTTCCACACAGTCACTGGTCTGGGAGAGCTCTGTTTA